AGCCTGAGACCAGAAGAACTAGATGGTGCCCGGCTACCACAAATGACTGCCCTTTCAGGGAACACAACAGACAGTCCCTGATGGAGCAGCAGAAAGGTGGGGTGCAGAACTCAAATTCTAGTGAGAAGACCAGACTTAATGGTCTGACTAAGACTGGAGGTACCCTGGAAAGGATGGCCTCTGGACTCTGTATCAGCCCAGAACTAAAACAATTTCCGAGGCCAACTTTTCAAACAGGGATTGGACTGGACTGTGGGACATAAAGTGATTCTCATGAAGAGTGTGCCTCTTAGTCAAGTAGATACAAGAGATCAAAGGGGCAGCTTCTGTCCAGAGATGAGATGGGAAGGCAGAGAGGGTTAGGAGCTGGTTGAATGGACATGGGGAATCAGGGGCGGAAAGGAGGAATGTGCTGTCGCAGAATTGGGTGAGCAATTAGGGTCGCATAACAATGTATGTATAAAATTTTGTATGGGAGACTAACTTGAAATGTAAACTTCAATTAACTACAACAATAAAAAAAATAAGAGAATTATTAAAAAATACGTGTTAAGCTTTGTTCAGACATGAGTTATGATGCTGTTAGCTATGAATTAAATATTAATGACTCAACATTTATTAAATGCCTTTAAATAGAAATGCACATAAAACAAGGTTGTATATTGATTCGTTGGTGCAAATGTTGCTAACAGACACTCCCAGGAACCTAACTCTATATTTCCCTTGGAACGATGGTTCTGTATTCTCTAATTCAGTGTTCACAGTGACTTTATAGAACATAACTACTGCAAATAATAAGAATCAACTGTACGTGTGTAGTGTGTGTTTTGTGTATATATAATATGCTCGGTTACTGGAAAGTCGGAATGGCAAGCAAAAGGGATCCAGTGCCCATGAGGGTTGTTGGGATCCACTAGGCTGGACGGTAGTGTAGCGGCCTTGAGTTTATCTTCTTCTTTTCCCCAATCCTTCCCAGTCAAGAACCCTTTGTGACTATTCTATAATGCTATGATGCTGGCTTGGAACTCAGCTGAAGCATACATTCTCTGTTGTGAGTTGTCTTAGGCAGCAACGTGCTTTGGATGATGGACAATTTTGCTTCATTTAATCTGTGTTTTAGTGAGCCCTGGGGCTTTGGTTTCACTATTGGTATGTAGTTGGAATCGTCCTTCATGTTACTGCATTCAGTGGTGTCCAGATTTGCCAATCTTTGAGAAAAACATAGACATCAATCACATAAGAAAACCTAAAGTCCAGCCCACAAAAAAGATTTAATCTTGCTTTTCATTTTCTTATTCCCACTTTCCTAAATCAATTTTGGAATGGAGAGACGTCAAGAATGGGAACTCTAGGTAGAGATTAGAACATCATCAATCTATGACCACAGGTGGGGGGAGGGCAAGGAGAAGAGTGGGGACCAGGGTTTATACCTAAAACCTACAGACATATACTTAGGTGTGGTAGAGGGTCCCAGGGTAAAACGTAAAAACCTAGATTCAGACCTATGAGCTGGCTTAAGAGAGTTCTGGTCACTGAGGAGAATAGGCCCTCAACACTTGTTCACCAGCTGTCTTCCTACCTCGATGTCTTTGCGCCAACCTTCTCTGTTGTGTCAGGTTGAACACAGACAGCAAGCTGAGCTTCTGAAAGACTTGGGTCAGATACTAACCCATCTGACCTCAGGGAGAAGAATCCTATAGAATGGAGCACAGATATACCTGAAGATCAGAGTTTGTGCCCCTTTTCAGTAGAGGTCCACTGTCTGAAACATTGAAATCTACATGCACAAAACACTTCTTTATTTGAATATGACACAGAAGAATCAGTAATGTACCAATCTTTAAAAATGAATAACATGGAAACAATAGAGATTACAATTAAGTCTACATACAAAGTCACACTATTCATCAATAAATGTCTACTGCTTCATTAGAATGACAGCAAGAAATATGTCCCAAATTCTCACTCACTTATTCACTGGCTCACTCTCTCCCTCGTTTTTGGTCTTTTGGCATCAGTGCATAAGCAGCAACAAGAATTTAAAAAGTAAAGTTCTGCTATTCAACCCTGGGATATCCCAGGTTTAAACTTAATTTCTCCTTTCAATAAGGTCTAGGTCCACAATTGCTAATGAAGTCACTTCCCGGAGTCAGTCTTCCTCAGAAAACAGTAAGTACTCTCAGAGATAACTCATAGCAAGGAAGCAAGGAAATCAGAGCCTGGGAAACTTCTAATCTATGCTCTGTCCCTCCATGGGAGATAATGTTGGAGCTGGGCAATGGATCTTATCCACCAGGTGACAGTGTGAGACACAGTTGAAGAATTATTGGTTGTTCTGGAGGCAAAATTTTTGTGTACTGATTTTAAACAAGTTTATTCCCTAAGTTTCAGATTCCTCGTTTAAGAGTGCATCTGACCTGCACACCTCATGGGGTTGTTGTGATGATCACCTGGGGTAATGTACGTGAAAATACTTTACAATGACACACTTCTATACATAAGTGGACCTTACCATTACTGTCATTGACTCTTTCAACTTGAATCTTAATTCCTGGGCATTCAGTCTAATTTTGAGTCTATTCCCAATGGAACATTCTACTTAGCCTCCTACAAGATCTCTTTGCTCCTACCTTCACTTGATGTAACCCACGCTGCTGTATTCCTAGTTTGGAGAGCTCACCTGAAAGGTGCTAATGTGGCACTAGACCTACTTTCTCTTCAGAAAACGTAATTCTCCTCATTATTTCAGGAATCCCTCTTCATAGGTTGTCCTATGAAATCCCAGGGCCCCAGTGCAGCATGGGGTTGACATAAGAGGGAGAACTACAGGGAACAGAATGTGAAAGGACATCTTTGTGAGTATCATCAAGTCAGAGGTATGAGGAAATGTGACCTTTTCCCAGGTCTGCCTGGCTGGTCTATCTTCATTGTTCTCCTCGATGCACTTTTTTACCCATTGTCTCTTTTGGGAACCTGTTCAGACTCCCTTTGGAGGGTAGCTTTACATGTGGTGGCTCTGAGAAAGAGACAAAATGTGGCTTAGTGAGTCACACACAGACATATTATCAAGAGGCCAGGTGAGAACCTAGACCACAAGTTCCTGAAAACACTTGGGAAACAAGATGGGGAAGATCAATACTGTGGGGATTGCTACCCTCTCTACATTGCTCCATACTGGGAAGTTCCATACCCACTTAAAAACCAGAAATGTGGCTCCTTCATTGTGTCAGGAATATTATCAGGATCCCACTCAGGAGTTTACTTTTCTTCATCCAGGTCCCTGACAGATTTTAGAAACTCATATTAGATGGTTTTGGGTGTACTAGAGATGGAGCTCACTCTTTGAGGCCCTTGAATATAAAACACTTAAACATGAGTGAGACTCAATCCTGATCTCTTCCCCAGGCTGCCTTTTATTCCTCATCTACCCATTTCCAGAGCTGACTCCATAGCCATGCCTGCAATGCTCCTTGAAGAAAACCCTCAAGTAGGCCAGGGAGAAGAAGTGATTACAAAATATTCAGTCTCTGGCCTGGATATCTCTTTCCTTGCACCCTCACCTGCGGGCGAAGAGGGCTACATGGCCATGAGAGGGTCCCCCTCTAATCTGCTCATAGACTTGCAGGTCCCTTAGACTGGAGAGGACAGCAAATAGGACAAAAATTCATAAACAACAATATAGAGACAGGACCCTAGGAGACCCTTAGTAGGAGAAGACGAAATAGAGGATGCAGGAATGGAGACCATCTATCCCAGGGAGAAGAGTCCTCCTGCTCAGGAGAGGCAATTAGCAGAAGCTCCTAGGTACGAGAAGCCCCAGTTCCTGCCACAGGCTCCACCAAAGAATACTTCAGACACAAGATGAAGCATTTCTTTCAGTGCTTTCACATACTGAAAAGGAGGAAAAGACAAAAACATCCCCTTTCCAAGTTGCCCATGGAACCTATATCACCAACCAAGCCCTGACAATCTGGGCCA